CTGGTCCAATCCGAGATGGTCGGAAGAGCTCAGAGCTGCAGGCACTGGAAACCTCAGTCCAAGAATGGACAGCAAAAGCCACCAAGTGCTTTTAAAAACCTAAACTCAAACAAGGTTGGCAAGCACTTGAAAAGCCCAGTCCTCTTTTTTTTTTTTGTCAGCCTCTTGATTGTTTTTCAGTGTGTATGCACATCGATCAAAGTATTTCTTTATATCAACCACAAAGTCAAAGCATGAAAATAAGTGGTTACTGAAGCAGCCCATACTGTTTCCGATACAAGCTGCCTCCTAATACCACCTGCCTTCGGATACAAGTAAAATAGAGGTATCCTGGACAGTCTGGTGCTAAATTGTAGGTTCACTTAACCAATAAGGACAAAACAATCCAACTGGACTGTAGCAAACCTGCACAGTGGCAGCAGAGACAGAACAGAATAATTCATACAATGTCAGTGGGGTCAGTCTTTGGGTATCATTAACCCATTCTCATTGCACTGCTCACCACGAAAAGCACAGTTTTATTTAGTAGTGCTACAGCAGAAGACTACAAAGCAAAGAGCATGTTGGAAATACACAATACGAGCGGCTGAAGAAATCCAGGTCTTTGGAATCTCTTAAGCAAACAATTAGCTCTTCAGGGTTTTGAATTTGGTTTTTTTTCCTCTTTTTTAATCCCGCACATTTAAGAGCACATCAAAGATGACCTGAAGCATTGCTAAATACAGCTGTAGCTTGATCGGGATGAAGCTGGCTGTCACTGTGGGACATCTTGTTTGACCTCCAAATAGTTCAGGAGGCCAGCTGCAGTAAAACCACGATTCCCCCATCTGCCTGCCTTTACTTACGTATTCGGCACGACAGTTTGCTTGGCTTTCAGTCTGACCATCACCAGCAATAAAACATTGGGCAAATCAAAGACTACTTAAGACTTGGTTAACAACCTGAACAGAGCACAGGTCTTTGTGCTATTGCTATACTGACTTTATAGCAGCAGGAAAGTGTAAAAGTCAGTATTTTTACTCGTAAAATAAGCACAGCTGATATAGGGGACACTGAAGAAACCCCCTCTGTATTCACACTGCGTTTTTTAGAGTCACCTTTCCTACTAAAACAGCAGGTTGAGACTCCCTCTAAAGCTACAGAAGGATTTAAATGCACTTGCTGAAAAATCAGGAGCTCTGGAAATGCAAACTTCACCATGTACAAAATCCTCCTGGTACCCAGGCCAAGCAAAAAAACCTTTCAGCCCAGCAGAGATTGTTCCAAGAATCTACAAGCAACCGCAAACATGTTGGGCTGTATCTACTAATCAGCATAGCAAATACTCATATGAGAAGTTTGCTTCCATTTTCAGTTTATTTTATGACATCTACCTAAACAGATGAAATTACTAAAGTATTAACACAGCAAAATGGTACCACTGCAAATAACACACAGCCGAATACTGCAACTGTCAGCCTCTCTCTGCACCCCCCCATATTTGTTACTTGGAGGCACTAAACAGTTTGTGCTGTATTCATATTTTATGCAAGACTGAACACTGATGGAAAGGGAATCGGTGTTTTTTCACAACACAAGACTGCCTATGACGTTAAAAAGCTACTATTACAGAGCATCTTTTGCAAAGGTATTTGCAACCAGGCAACTACAACCTAATAGGTGCGCTGTATTTAGCTGAAATTCAATGCCTGTGCTAAAATAAAAACATTGTTTGAGCAATATTCAGTTTACCTACAGGAAGGTAAATTTGTCTGAAGGCGAATCAAAATAAAATGAGTGAGCATTACAATAGCCTGAAGAAATGCTGTTCAAGGGCAAACTTCTGTTACGCAACTACAATTTAAAAGAACAGCTTTCTCCTCAATCACTAGTACTGTTTTTTCCTCCTCTTGGGCTAATTATGCCCTCAGGGATAATCTTGAAAAGACACTGAATCTACATGCAAAGCAACCAGTTGTTGCTAAATAAATTAAATTATCTTTTGACTACATTGCACTTGTTATTTTTGGGGGAATGGTGCTGAGGGAAGGAGGGAGTTGTTTTATTTTTATAGCCACATAAGCCTGTCTTGGTGTGTTATTTGCAGGAAAAAAAAAGTTGTATGACACAAAAAAAAGAAAGGAAGCTTCTCTTCTTCACTGTTGAGTAACCATTAAAGAATTAGGTGAGCAGCAGAGGAAAGGAGGGGAAGGTTGTGCCAGCAAGAGGCAGTTTTAACTGAGGATACAGACACAATAGTTTTAAGTCTTTGAAACTGCACATTTATGTAATTAGATCCTACCACTTGATCCAACACTGGTTCTACCCCAGTCGTCAAGGGAAGGGAGAAATGCATACCTACTTATCTGGATAATGAACTCCTGTCCCTGGAACACCACAAGGAAATCCAAGTTCTCTGGGGAGCTTGCCTTTGTGTCAGAAAAATTACGGCAGGAAGGTGACCTTCCCTCCAGCACTGTTTTCATTTTCCAAATTACCACTTTTTATTTACCATTAGAAAACCAGTTTCATTCACTCCCCAAAACTGAACCAGGACAGGCTGGGTCAGAAAGCGAGCCAGTGCAAAACACTCTGGCGACTACCACTGCACAGCGCAGAGCCGGCACAAGGCTCTGCCCCGCAAAAGAGCCAGGGCAGCGTGCCAAAAACCACCCACTCCTCCCCTCAGAAGCCAGAGCCACAGGGTGGGCACAACCTGGGGTTCCTGCATGCCAAAGAAAAAATGGAGATGTCTGAGGGCCTTGGTGCACCCTTCCATGGAGTCAGTAGCCCCTCTGACCTCCCAAAACAGGGTACTTGCAGTAGAGAAGTGTGCTTACCTCCCCACTGCCCATTTCTAGACAGCCATGTCTCCAGCAGCCCACTCCCCCAGGCCTGCTAGCCAAATCCACCTTTCCCCTGACCTTCCTTGCAGGCAGATAAAACAATTAGACTTCTGGATCAAACACAGACAGTAGTAACTGAATAAATAAAAATAAAAGGTTGTAACAGTGCTCCAGCTGCTCTGCAGCATGCTGCAGTATAACTGCCACCACATTAGAGCCTTCAGAATTGAAGCTGAAAAGATGCATTGAACCAGCCTCCTATGATCCCTCCACTGGTTCCAGTGAGCAGCAGCACCACTATGGACATGAAGAGGTGGCAAAGTCACTGCCACTCCTTGATAAGCCTTTGCTTTATTCCTTCAGACTATGAATTCAAAGAATGGCTCTTTATTTTATAGCTGTGTTAATAGGAAAAAAAAAAAAACAAACACGACCAAACATGTCAGATACTTGACAGGCAGAACACAATTCCAGTCACCCACAAGAGCTCGGGCCAAAGGACAGCTGAGATCCTGAGGAACAAAGGTGTTGGGATTTCACAGCTACTGGACTCACACAGGGCATGGTTAGAACTTCAGCTCTGTAGCAAGGTGCCTCCACTGCAATAACCAGAAGCACGTTCCCAGAAGCATCAGGAGAGATACTACTGATTTAGCAAGCAAGAAAACTGAGCACACTCTGATCCCAAGAGACAAAAGAAATCAGACTAAACTGTCTTTAGTCTTCAACGGAAGCTTACATCACCCTTCTCCTGGCTCTGCCACTCTAAGCCTTCTGAACTGCAGGTCTGTCAGTCTGGCTCTTCTCATGCTTGTCCTTTGTTTTAAAAAAGGCATTAAATTCATTAAAACTGTTCTCTACAGCTCATAGGAGAGTTACTGATCAATCATCTACTGGATTGGTAAAGTAAGTTTGAACTACTTCCTTTTCTGGAAATAAATTTTCAATAACAAAATCAGAGTTTGAAACTGAAATAAAAGCAGGAGACTAAGACGCAAAAGAGAGATGCAAAGCTGATCTTTAAATATTCTTTGAGAAACCTACACTCTGGGAGATAGAGGCATATGGGACCATCATCTCTCTCGAGCTGCCTCAGCATTTAGAGGTGAGCTCCGATACGCTCTCCACACGTTATAGCGTGTGCCACGCTGAGACGCATTACTTGGTTTTAGATTCTTCTCCTGCAGCTATCAGGTACAAACAGCCCCTGCCTAATCCTGTCCTGCCTCTAGTTAGAGCCTACCACGGCTGAGGGTCCAGAGCAGTATCTTGAACATGAAGAACACCATCTTTCACTTGCTCTGTTAGAAGTCTACCACTGAGACTTTAAAGCCTGGTCCACCATCTGGTCTTTGCAGAACCTCACCTTGTTTTGTCAGCGCTTCTCTCAGAGCCGGGGTTATCATCTCTCTCTTTTCACCCTCCTCCTTCCTCCCAGCATTCTCGTGAGGCAAGCCAGTTCCAGTATCTCCTTCCTCGAGCTCACGTTCTCTCTGTTTAAAGACAGCAAGTTACAACCATTTAGATTCAGGCATCACGTTTTCAACACTATGGCACAGTTGAGCCACAGACCTGCTAAACTTAAAACTGATGCAAGTGCCCACACAGGAATTCTTGCATTTGTGTAATCCTGCATTTTATCCCTCCTCCCATCAGACACTTCAGGACAGTAAATTTAAAAAGAAAAAACAATGCAGCACTACATTTTTTTCTACTACCATAGCAATAAAATTTTCTAGGACATTTTAAGAAACAAGGTCTTTGACTGTCATCTGAGAGTGAGAGGGACTCCAGGGTTTGAGCCCAACTGTTTCACAATTGCACAATAATCTCATCCCTCTGCAAAACGCAAACGAGAGGGAACAAACCGTGTTGTGCCTGACACACAATTGCCTGGAGCGCCAAGCAGCTATTGCCCCAATTATTTGGGAGAGGTCAGGGAAGAAACCCACATCACTACAGGGGCTTAGCCCAGGAGCTGACAGAGCAGAAGGTGTGCTCTCCACAAGTCACTTAAGGCAGCAGCCACGTGCACCACCAAAATTCAGTGATCACCAAAGGCCGGGCAAGAAAAGTCTGTTCCCCCCTGCCCCGCAGTCAACTCCAGGCACACAAGCTGCAGCACCCCACCTAAGCCTGGCTTCCAGCAGGCATTGCTTTACAGACACAGTTAAGCCCTCAGAGCTTTCTTAAAACCAAATGCAGCAACAGCACGTATTAGCGTAAAGTTACAAGCAGGAGAAGCAAACCCTAGCACATAAGGCATCGTGAATCCCCCGCTGTACAAGTGTCACTTCTGAGACTTTATGGGTATTTATTGTTTTGTGTCTGCACAAAGCAGCATGAAAGTGTAAATAATTACCTTGATATTTCATCCAACTTGTAATCTGTCACTCCTTTATGGCTTTTTTGAAATATTAAAGGAGTTATGGATAAACAACAAAAAAGAACAACAGAGGACATTTTGTTTTCACAAAACCGAGGCTATTTCACATCCAAGCCTCTTTTGTGCCAAAGACATCAAGAAGTTCATACAAACCCTTCCAGTTTGAGTCTACCCACCAACTGTCAGCATCACTAAGGAAACCAGTGCTCTTGACTTGCCAAACTGTCGTCTTCACAAACAGGGAAGGTAATTTAGCCTTTCCTAGATACACAGACAGATTTCTTTTGTACCTGAGGAAAACTTCATAAAATAAAGGTGCCTCAGTAAAAAAAAAAAAAAAAAAAAAAATTAAAAATGCCACAGACTCTGAGGATCAAGGACAAAACAGAGCTCCTAATAAGCACTTGAGAAGGAAGTAGGAAAGCAAAACATTTAGGGACAGGCGTTATTACCTTTCCTACTCATTTTGAATAAAACTGTGCTCACAGTTGCAGGGAGGTCATGCAGGAAGGCATTTTCTAATGACCAGTAAGAAAACATGGTCCTTACTGAAGGGAAAACTGTTTCTATCTCCTACGTACTTTCACTCCGTTTGCTGAGTTTTTAGGCAGGGTTTCACTGGTTTCTGTAACACACCAAAACTCCCTGAAAGGCTAGCTCTACCATCTGTTGGGTTGACAAGCTCATTTCTTGAGACTTGATCTTCATTTATCAGCAAGATGCTTCAACAGTAAAATATTAATATTACTGGGAAAGCCTCATGCATAATCTTCATCTTTTAACTATTAAACCTTTAAAAAAAAAGAGCTCTCCTCCCACAAGCTGTCACTGAACCCAGCACTAGGCCCAGCCATCCACTTGAAAAGGAAAGGCTCGATCTCAGCACCGATTTGTTAGCTACTCAAAGCAAAACGCTATGTGGGATTTACAAGTGGACACATCCTGGCCTGTCCCTCTATGACCTCATGCCAGGTTAATTCTCCCAGAAGAACTAAATATGCATTATGGAGCACATCATAATATTAAAAATGCAGTGATTGACTTAAGTAGGAACGCGACATCCCATCCAAGACAGCCTTCAGGTACAGAAAAATTTTTTCTGAATTTAAAGGGTTTGCATTTCTACCTGTCTACTGTGCCTGTTACTGCAATATCTGAGGAAAGGACCTAAACATAAGAAGAACAAATAAAATTGCCTTACTGGCAGGGCAGAAACATTTATTGCAATAATCATTTTTCCCCTCACAGAGATGATAATATTTCCCGCCCGCTTTCATCCTGACATGAAAGCCTGTACACAAAATAATCATTTGTTTTTCTCCAAACTGCAATACTTGACTTGTTCGGTTTGGCAAGTGATTGGCTTCAGATACTTCTTGTGGGAAATGGAATTCGCAGCCCCGGCAGTTTTACTTATTTGCTTAATAAACCTTTCATATCTGTTATTTAGAGTTTGAGTAGAGAGAACAAAGTTAACTTTGCACAGAGCAAACTTCTCAAGTTCTTGTGATTTAGCAGAAAGCCCTGTAGTAAATCTAAGGCAAATTACTGTCTTTCCATAACAAATCAAGCAAGTAGTGACAAGAGCCAGATTTTCATGCCCTTGAAATACTTCACTGCCAAAAAAACTGAAGAGTCATCCTCTGCTCTGCATTCACAAATGAGAGAACCCACAGACAGGAAAACCTAGAAATATATTCCTGTTTTTTGGTACCCCAAGGCTCAGTACAGCTCCTGCTGCAGCCTGCTGGAGGTTTTTTTCTTTGCTTACTGCCATTGAAGCAGATCTGAATAAAAGCAATTGAACCTCATGTGTAAGGACTTAGGACCACCTCCTCTACAGGTGAAGGCAAAAATAAAATCCTCTTCCCTTTCATTGCCACACTGGCAACACATATGGACAGGCACAGGAAGCCCATTTTTGATGAGTCAAGAGCATAAGGTATCCAACAGACACATGCAAGAACCTCAGCATTCGCAGCCAAGGCAGATGTGTTGCTATCCCTTTGACAAACCACAGTTCAAGTGTTTGAGAGGATTTCCTACAGATATGCCTACCGAGCTCATCCACGGCCACGTCCAAATACAACCAACAGGATGTGCTACTGCACTTCTCTTTGAAGTGCTCTCTTCAGGACATCAAGGTGCCCCACCTCTCCCTGTGTTTTCCATTTTATTACATCAAACACTCTTCAAACTAAGACTGCGAGGGTGAGAAAGTTAGAAGAAAAGAGACAAACTCCCTGAAAAAAAGTATTCCCTAAACTAACTTAATTTAGCCTTTTCAGCCTCATGTCTCTATTGATGTGCCGCAGCTGGAAAAAGAACATGCTCCCCGAGAAGTTTTTACTCCTGGAAGGAAAGTGACACCCAGAAAATCCACAAGTTTGACTGAACTTCTTTCCTACTTAACCTCCCAGTGGTCAAACAAGAGGGAACCCCTGGCCTTGTCATGATTTACAGCCTCATCCATCATAAGACTCCAGGATCTTTTAACAAACAAAAGGCATAAACGTTAAGAAAACAGTAATACATCAGGGCCTGGAGCCAGGACTAACAAAACCAGCACTAGGGGAAAATGTTGGCAAGGCTATCGGGGAAAGACTGCCTGGCAGCAAAGGGTATTAGTAACGTTTTCCCATGGGAGTTGTTAAATGAAGTATTAAAGTTCATGAATTACGTGAATGAAGAGTTAAAAGTTCAGACCAAGCAGAGTTCTGGAAGTAATACTCCAGAAGCAAGAGGACAGCTAGAAAAGATGACAATTTTTCCCCTGGTTTAGGCTCAGCTGTCAGTGGCACTACAGGCAAGAACCACACGGGGTGGTTTTGGGGTTTTGGTTTTTTTTGGTTGTTTTTTTTTGGTTTTTTTTTTGGGTTTTTTTGGTTGTTTTTTTTTTTAAAGGCTACCCACAGGAACGGCACTCATTTCCTTACAAAGCAACCATCCCGCAAGACTAAAACACACAGAAAGAGAACAGGACAGGGAGCAGGCTTGCACAAAGATACTCTTGAACACAACAGAAGAGGAGCAGAAGACTGCTAGTCCACTGTGGGGACCTTCCTGCTCCAGGTACAAAGCACTGACTGTCACGACCGAACCGTAACAGAGAGAAGTGCAATTTGCTCAGTCTGTGGATGAAACACCCTGCCAATCTTACAGCAACACAGGATACTCTAACTGCTGTCAGTCACCAATAAAAATAGCTTTGAGCATTTGCGAGTGAGCACAAAGATGAATACTAGAAACTTGTATTGAGTAATCAGTGAACCAGCAAACACCCCAACAGCAAGAAAATCTTATTAAAAATAGCTGCTAGAGTCTACATAATCACAGGCTACATACCCACTCCATACATCACTGCCCAGTTAAGCACAAAAGCCTTGAAACGAAGCAAAAAGCAGACAAGGGTTGAAAGCCTGACAGCTGAGAGATGGGGAGCTTGGCAATCCATTACCTTGCCATGATTGAAATAGGAGGTAGCTTGATCAAAAGCAAAAATCATGGCATGTGTTTTTAAGAAGTATCCCTAAAAATGGGGAAAGCCCCTGAGAAGTTCTGACTGATACCAACAAAAAACCCACCTCAAAAGGAAGATTTGTTTTATTTTTTCTCCCATGGAATAGAAACCTTTGTGAATTTTCAATACCAAGCTGGAAAGAACTCTCCATCCACATCTGCCTTACTATGCTGTAGAATAACAGAGGTTCCCTCGTGTTATTCCGAGGCAGCAGGTACTAGCTGCCTCCCAAGAAAGGGTGCTATTCAAACAGACCTGCAGCTCAGCCCCGCCAGAGGGAATCCTGCATTCTCTTTTATTTGAAAAGTCAATGCTGAGATTTTTGGACATGTACAACAGCATTTTAAAGCCCAAACTCATGCAGATAAGTAATGACAGAAGACTTATGCTGCTATCCAACTGAATTAGTTGGAAAGGGCACTGCACGTCTTCTGTGAAATGCAGAAGGATAAGGGATCCCACCAGTGTCCGTTTTCTTGTAGGTTCAACATCGGGCAGAATCCTCAAGGACAAAAGAAAAAAAACCAAACCCAGATCGCAACTCTAAAAGTATACCTGCCGGGCTACAGAGGGGTTTAAGGTTGCTT